TCGGAGTCCGGCGCCCGGCAGGGAGGGGGCGTGCGACCGGGGACCGGCCGCGAGGCGCAGGATGGAGGAGGAGATGCAGCCCGCGGAGGAGGGGCCCAGCGTCCCCAAAATCTACAAGCAGCGCAGCCCCTACAGCGTCCTCAAGACGTTCCCCAGCAAGCGCCCCGCGCTGGCCAAGCGCTACGACCGACCCACCCTGGTGGAGCTGCCGCACGTCCGGCCGCCCCCGCCGCCCTTCGCGCCGCACGCCGCCGTCTCCATCAGCAGCAGCGAGCCGCCGCCGCCGCAGCAGTTCCAGGCGCAGAGCACCTACCCCCCCGGGCCCGGCCGGGCCGCCGCCGCCGCCTCGTCGTCGTCACCGTCGTGCACGCCCGCCGCGCCCCAGGGCCACCTGAGGACTTCGGCGCCGCCGCCCGTGGCCCCCGCCGCGTCGTCGTCCTCGTCTTTCGCCGCCGTCGTCAGGTACGGCCCGGGCCCGGCGGCGGCCGCGGGGAGCAGCAGCGCCAGCGGCGACGGCACCAGCCTGGAGCTCAGCGCAGGTACCAACTCTTGGGTGCAACTTTCCTTCCCGCCACGGCCGGGGGAGGGGTAGGGACCCGGGCGGGAGGTGCCGGGGGCCTGTGGACAGGCTCCTGCGCGCTCGAGGGGAGTGGAGAGGGCGGCTGAGGTGGAGTCTGGGCGTCTGAGCGCACCCCTGAGGCCTTCGCGCGCCGCCGGCAACTTCTAGAGGCTTCGCCGCCGCCGCTGCTTCTGGGCTTCCGACGGCGCGCGCGCCTCCTAACAGGTGGCTCCGCCGCTCGGATCCAGGTTGGCGCCCGGGAAGCGCGGCGGGGGCGACTCGGCGGCGGGGAATGTTCGGCCCGGGCCGGGAGGCAGCCTTGGCGCGGGGTTGTACGCGGGGAGTGGGGGCCACATACCCTGCGATGACCAGCGCGGCCGCTCCCGGAGACGCCGGAACTGCTCTGGCGACTCTCAGGGACGCTCACCCTTTCTTTCCCCTCCCCTGCTTCACTTTTTCCTTCCACTTGTCGCTATCACCCAATTTCCTCCATTTGTCTTTTCCTTCTCTCTACTTCCTCGTTGCTCTGGTAGTCTTTTTCTCCCTCTCTTGGATGCACTCTCACTCGGTCGCGCCCCACGCGTCTGGCTCCCGGGCTCTTTTTTTTTTTTTTTCTGTCCCTCGTTTCTCTCCTGCGCAGTGTCTCTGCGGCGTTTTCTCTGCCCTCCTTTACCCACCCCCCAACCCCAGAGTCCCAGCTCGTGGGTGGCAGACATCGGGCTTCTTTGCTGGGCCATGCGGGTAGTGACTGGTCTCGCCCCTGAGATCGACTTCAGGGAAAGCGACCTCTTCCGGCTCCTACTCCCCAACCCCAGAGCGCCGCGTGGCGCGGGACCCACCGTCCATCCCCAGCCCCGTGGGGGGGGACCCGGCTGCACCGCTGGCTGCCAAGCCTCTGGGTCCCGGCCCTGCAGAGAGGTCTTGTGGGGAGTTCCCACCCCGGGGTATGAGACCTGGAGACTCCTAAAGAAAAGCCAGCCCTTCTCGGCGGCAGGGAGGGAGGTGGGCTGTAGAAAGGCCCCTAAGTGGGGCCTGCGCCTCAGGGCCCTCTCTGCTCCCGCAGCCACGCTGATCCAGCACGTCCAAACTAAAAGTTCCTTTGCAGGTCTTCTATGGTGCTTTGGAGCCCCTACCCCCGCCCCCGAATTCTACATCTCTGAACCCGAGGTTTTCTTCCCCCGAATGAGAATAAGAGCATTGTCTCTAAATGAGTTCTAGATGTCTACACTAATGTTTGCTTATTTGTCAATATTTTGACACATGAAGGATTGATTTTCAGAAAGAAAATCTAATTGCAGGTTATAGTGAAGACTGGTTCTGTCGCTCGCCTGGCTGGTTTGGAGATGTTGGTAGGTTTTGGGCGGGGTTCTTATTTGAGTGTCCTTATTGTTTGTGGGTCTGTTGTTTTTGTAGCTGCTCTGGGTCCAATATTCTATTGTGTTTCTATATTCATTGTTAGGCTACTTCCCATTTTTCTTTTTCCACTTCCGTCTGATGATTTCCTCCCTTCTAAAAGAGGTTTTCATTCTTTTCTGGGCTTGAGGTCTTATTCTTTCCCAACTACATCTTGTTAATGCCCATCTCTATTGCCCAGCTCTGCTTTGTCTTTATATTCCTCTTGCTTTTCTGAAGTTTGGGTCCTTTCCCCACTTTCTGTATTTTGCATACTGCTCTGCATAACTGGAGTTCACCTTATTCTTTGGGGTTCTCTTTATTTGCCCAGTTCATGCTCTCATCTTGCTTTTTCTCCTCAGGCTTTGTTGACTGCCTTTTAACCTTTTACTTACCTGTAGGCACTTTAAGTCTGACATTTCTTATTTCCAATTTAACCTTACTTTTTTCTGCTGCTTTTCTAGTATTTTTTCTTTTTTCTGCAGCAGTCACTTCTTACCCTTTCCATGGCCTCTTCTACTCTGATAATACCCCCGTTAAGTTTGTTTTTCTCTTTACCTTATTCTAAATGTTCTTTTTCAGTGTTTTTTCTAAATTACTCAGTTTGTCTCTGTCCCCATGTAGAAATCAAATTGGTGAATCTAAAGGAATAAAAAGGGTTTTGTAGATGCCCCTCAAACACCCTGCATTTCTTACTTCTCAAGGATTTTGTTCTTTTAAGAGAGGCCATTGAGAGGTAAGGTTGGCAGCAGTAGGGCAGGATGCTCTGTGCTTGTTGGGAAGATGGGAATGTAAAGTTCTGTTCTACCATCTTACCCGCCCCCCCCCCCAAAGGTCATAGTTAGAATCATGAATTTGGATAGAATCATGAATTGTAGTCATAATATTAATAATTGATGGACAAAGCTATCCCTTAACAGGCACAGTGATGTGAGTAGCCATCAGAGGGACAGTCACCTGAAGAGCTGATTGGTTAGTTGAGGAGCCAGTGGTTCCACTTTGAACCAATGAGCTTGTGTGCACTGGCTGCCGGCCATTTCAGCATCCTAGGTGGGGGTAGTGCTTTGCTTGTTGCACCCTCACAAAAGTGTTATTGAAATGTCTCGGCTTGCCTTGTAAACTGAAAATAGTCAAAACATTGATGTGATGAAATGAGTCAAGGATAGGAGGGAGCTAACTGACTGTCCAGAGTAAATGCAGTGAAAAGATGAATGGATTTAAGTGAACATTATTTGCCATTAAGGGCCATAAACGATTGAGAGGAGAAATATGTGATTAAAAATAGATTTTTTTCAGCATTCTTACAAAATCTCATGAAGAGTATAATTTTCCTTAAAAGGGGTAATATACCATGGTTTTAAAAGCATATTTTTCCTCTGTGGGAGGCTTAGAGTTAAAACCCACGTAGATCTTGATATGCAGCCTAAATTTGGCATCAGGAAATGGGAAATTGCATCTTTAAGCAGAGTACAATCAAAAATGAATTACAATAAATCCTATATAATTGCATAGGTCATTCTCTTTAATGAGATTTTATTAACCTGACTGTCAAGCTTTTGAGTCAGGCAGATATTTTATCTTCTTCAACTGATAAAAGTGTCAGCTATAAACCACCATATAAATATTCATAAATCTACACATCTGTGGCAGCCTATCAGCATCATTCTTTTGGACATTAAAAGCATTCTAATTACTTTCTGTCTAGCAGAGCTGAAATGCTGCCTGTTATAGTATGTGCTTGGCAGGCATGATTGCTTTTGTTTGCCATCACAAATAGCAGCATCCTATTTTATATACCGATGGTCCAGAAAATATTCAAGGATTGACTGAGCAGGATGAATATTAGGAAGCACCATCTGGTTTTGATAGCACCGAGTATATTAACTCATCTGTTAATTTTTGACACATCATTGATTTATTTATTTAGAAAAATTGCATCCTGTTTTGCTGTGTTGATGTTTGCCATTATGAAAAAAAATTGGATGACATTTTTTTTAAAAGACATAGTTCATTGATTTAAGACAAGAGTAATTTTTCCAAAGATGCTTTCATTTTCTAACTTCTATTTTCTAAGCCATGAAGTCTTCTCACTAAAAAGAAGCTATTTTAATGTTTTGAGGAAATCATCTATTTTCAACTACTTGAAAATCCTCTTAGTAGATATAATGTATGGATACATGATAGTAGGTCACAAAAATTTTTTTTTTGCTTCTGCATTTTTTAATATTAATATATTTCACCCTTCACTGGGCTAAAATCAAAAGGTTACCACTAATCTCGACTACTGTGATCTCCCTCACAGAAGCAGAATACTCTTGGGGATGTGCTGTGATGGGCAAATTCCATTCAAGGCTTTACTTACAAAGGATGTGAAAGTAGGGAGCCTGTGTTTGATTGCCAAGTCCCCATCCTTTTTCCTATTCATTTATCAGATTTAGGATAGATTAAATTCAGAAGAATTTCAAGAAATAAATTTTTAATTAAAAAAACAATCATGGGTTCAGATTTTGGAGTCAGAAAAGCCACAATTTGATAATGGTATTACCTCCCACTAGACTGTACCATAAAGCAAAATAAATTAGAGCATAGACATTTAAGAGTGTCCTGTGATTGTGATTTATGAATACTTTTTGGTGCTTAATTTTGGAACTGTTTAAGGGTAAAGTTAGATTGTTTTAAAGTCCCTTTGTAAACTGTCGACTTCGTACTTCCTTGCTGTAGTTGAGTGGAGCAGTCTGTGACTAGGGGGGAAAACAATTTAAAAAAATTCAAAATACATGTTCACACTTTGCTCAATTAAGAATCATGGATCAGTGACCATTCAATTGTGTTCATATGAAAACAGAACTTTTCTCCATTTCATAGCGATAATGGGCATCGCACAGTACTTGCATTTCTAATTATATTCTGTCTGGAGAGCTGAAATATTGCTGGCTGCAATATGTACTAAGTGGAAAGATTTGCTTTTTTCTACCAAGTATAATAGTAATATTTTTCATTAGACTCTTCAGTGTATTGATGTTAAATTACTATTCACATATTTTAAGGTAATAGAAAAGGGAGAAATTCAACTTTGAGTTATTTTAACATATCAATTCTGAAAACAAATTCCAAAGGAAGCATTTAAAAAAACAACTTCAGACAAGAAATGTTTTAAGATGGTGGCGAGTCTCTGATATTCTGAAGGCACTTTAATACATTATCTTCATAACATAGTATATTGCATAATGATTTTCTCAGCATATTATGAGTTTATCCTTCAATTAAGAAAATAAATCATACTTGTCCCTTAAGTCAGATCCTCCCTTAAAATCTATACTCTAATGTGATTTATCAATATAATTAAAACTAGTGAGTGTTACTTAGAACATTGAATGAATATATTCAAGCAGGTCTTTGTAGACAATTCTATTTTAGCCTTTTCTTTCATATTTTGTTCCTTTCATCAAGGTTATGTTAAAGGACTGCAAGCTGTAAATCAATTGGGACTATGCTGATTAAAATGCAAACAGTAAATACAACTTCAGGTCTAGAATGGGATTATAGGATTAAAATGAATGAAAACTGCTAGTGAGCTAGAATTGAAAATTCCCAATCAATATCATCCTTTGATTTTACTAATAAAAGAACAAAAACCCTGAAGTAGGTAAATGACAGAGCAACATGTAGCCCTCCCCCACTTGTATGGTTCAACTGTTTACTCTCTTATGCATTTGGTTTTGGTTACTGTAAAGAAATCAGTATTTGATGTCTTTGGGAATTTTTAGTTAAATCATGAGCTCAGTGGAGCTCCAGCTGAGGGTGGAGCTATCATCAATTCTGGCCTTGGGGGTATAAAAGATAGCCACATCCCATCATCCCCAAGATAGTAAGCAGACTTTACCTTGGCTGCTTCTTCAAGTGCCCATCAATCATTTCTAGCCGGAAACTTTATTTGGCATCTGTTTTTTTTCTTCACACTCAGTTGTGCAAAAAATTTGCACAAATTGTGGAGTGATTCTTAAATATATGCTGTATATCTAAGTAATTATAAAAGTTACAAATAAAGTTTTCAATAAAAATGTATTTGATCCACCCATCCTGACAAATACAACTTCATAATGCCCAGATCCGACTTAGGAGTTTTCAGCCAGCCTATGCATGACCTTCTCTTCTACCCTTCTGTCTTCCACTATGAGGGAGCTCACATACATTCAAACATATAGATGAAAGCCTGCATCTGAGCCTCCAAACTCTGGCACCTGAATCTGTCTTTGGGAGAGAATGGCTTAGGAAAGAGACCAGCACAGGCCCTTAAAGAAGTTTAAGGAGGGAATTCCTGGATTATGGGTACCTGACTGCAGGGAGAGAGGATGTAATGTCAAGGTAGGAGCCCTCCTGCCTGTGTCTAAGGGTAGCTCTGATCTTAAGTGAAACGAAGCTCTATTCCCTTTGGATTGTCAGCCTGCCTAGAGTTGCATTGTCAGCCCCACCTCAGTCAAGTAAATCTGAAATTCCCTAAACTAAAATTCTCTACTTATTTGCACGAGCCCCACATGTATTCAGCAAGTGCTTCTTGTGGTACTGTGCTGGCCCTCAGACGACAGTGCACTGAAACCCAGTAGCCTCCAGTAATGAGGCCTCCTATAACAACCTGAACTGGAGAGATGTGACTCTGTGTTCTCAATGATGATTTTTAAGAAGGATTTAGGAAAGGCAACATTTTATAGATTTGGGAGATGTGGGGAATGGCTCCTGTGTGCTTGACTATGCTCCAGACTTTAAGGACATCTTTTAAAATACTTGAGAAGCAGGACTTGAACTCTCCTTTCCAATATCTTCAGTATTCATGAAAGAACAGTAAGAAAAATACAACAGAGTAACTGAGGAAGTACTACATAAAGGTTTCTGAAGAAAAGTTGCACTGATTATACATCCTGGATTTTCTGGAAAAGTTGATTTCTTGTAACTATTTTACTCCCATTGTCTGCATAGAAGCCCTCGAGCATCTTGTTCTTCTCTTTTTCATTTTAAAAGTGTTGTCCCCTCCACACACACAAGAAAAATACAGCTAGTCTACATTTTCAGTGTCAGCAAGTAGCTCATTACATTTCTGTCACAGGCAGTAGTTACTGACATATAAAATCTACAGTATTTTCTTTGTCCTCTTTATACTAGGACAGCAGGGAAAGGAAATGAGAGGCATCCTCATACATCTATGTAAGCTCTAAAAAGTACCTTTGTATTTATAAAAAGCCCATTGTAGGTGTGGTCAGGAAACAAGGGAATCTGTCTTGTGATGTTTACTCTTCAGGTGAATTTTTCAAGGCACTTAGACTGACATTGTCAGTCACACTTTGGGGGTTCTGCAGTGAATTTCTGCTTTTCACTATTGACAGTTAGTGTAATTGGCATTTGCATCTGTGAACTAACTGGTATACTCAGTATATTACCATTTTAGGAACTTTGAAAATCTACTAAAGAGACTCTAAGCAGCAGCACCACTGCTTTTTACATGATACGGACATAGAGGAACATACACATGGAAATCCAAAGTAGCTGATAAATGAGAACAGTGAACACAGATGTTGGTTACACAGAGTTTTTCCTTGGAGCTCATCATCTTTTGGCTTATAGGCCCACTCTTTGTTTTGCCTTAGATGCCTAGTGAGCTCTTCAAAAAGACTTATCTTTCTTCTCCAGTTTGCATCTGGGAGCAACGTACTCTCACTCTCGGCAGGGATTGTATCAGCTGATTAATAGCAAGGGCATGAGGGCACTCCAGAAATAGAAGTAATGATTGCTGTAAGCCCGCCTATCAATGAGGAATTGAGTCTGCTGTGGCTGGCTCGATTCATTAGAGTAAGGATATTAATGAAGCCAAAGGTGTGAGTTCAGACTTATGCAGTCCAGTTAATGCCACAGAGAAGGAAATCTCTATGAAGTCCCCAAAGGCACAGACCAGTCCTTTCCCAGAGAAAAGGCCCGGGGTGTGGGTGGGGAGTAGGGGAATTCAACAGGCATCTCAGCAGTCACAGAGCAACAAAAAGCTATACAACCCATTAAAAGCAGATTCACCATGTCACTTGGGTTTGTAACAGACTAAGAATATACTTAACATATTTGAATGTTGTGCTCAAAATAGAGGGCCTTACTTTGATGGTCAGTTTCTGATGTTTCTTTTCATGTGTTTCAGAGAGTCGAATGATCTTGGATGCTTTTGCCCAACAATGCAGCCGCGTCCTTAGTCTCTTAAATTGTGGAGGGAAACTTCTGGACTCCAACCATTCTCAATCCATGATTTCTTGTGTAAAACAGGAAGGTTCAAGTTATACTGAAAGACAAGACCAGTGTCACATTGGAAAAGGGGTCCACAGTCAGACCTCAGACAATGTTGACATAGAGATGCAATATATGCAAAGGAAACAACAAACTTCTGCCTTTTTGAGAGTTTTCACTGACTCCCTACAAAATTACCTGCTTTCAGGGAGCTTTCCAACACCAAACACCTCATCTGTCAATGAGTATGGCCACCTGGCCGATGTGGATCCTCTGTCAACCTCCCCAGTGCATACATTAGGTGGCTGGACCTCCCCAGCAACATCTGAATCCCACGGTCACCCGTCCTCTTCTACACTGCCAGAGGAGGAAGAGGAGGAGGAAGAGGAAGGCTATTGTCCTCGATGCCAAGAGCTGGAGCAGGAAGTTATTTCACTGCAGCAAGAAAATGAAGAGCTCAGAAGGAAATTAGAGAGTGTCCCAGGTAACCAGCCATGTTTTTTGTAAGCTAATTATAACTCGTTCTGTTGTCTTTTATGTGTATATGATGGGGTTCAGGTGTTGGGATTCAGTGAGTAGGATCCTTGGGTACCCACAAGAAAGGTTTTGGCAAATACCTATTTCACAGCACATAGCAAATTTACTAGGGGAAAAGCTGTTTTCATGGACACAAACATCCAAAGGCTGCAATAAAAAGGGCAGGTTTATTAGGGAAAAGGAGGCACTTACATAGACACAGGCAGGGCCCAGAATTTTATTTGAAAGGGAAAAGATGATTTAGAGACCTGTGTAGTGGGTAGGTTTCATTCAAGATCTGCGTTTTGCCAGATTAAGGGGTATCTTTATGTAGTGTTCTCTTGGGGGATTCATTCCTTTGTGGAGTTGTATCTGTTGTGGCATCTGTTAGCTGTAGCCCTGATTGAGTTAATCTGTAGGGACTGGGTTTGTTTGCAGTGACCCTTCTGTAACCATCTGTGCCTACAGCTCTTCCATGGTAGGTTTAGTGACTTTCTGTCATTTCTGTCCCCATCTCTAGTTTCTGGCCTTGTGAAGCTTCCACCCTGGATTCTCTTTCATAAGTTTCCATCATGTACATACTTAATGCATTATAATAAAGTTCTTGTTTGAGGCCAGTGGTGTAGAAAGGTTGGGAAAAAGTAAAGCTTAGGATGCCCTTAGGTTGCCGGTGCCAAAAAGAAGTTTAAAGATGAGCCACTGTCTATGTTTAAGTGTCTAGGTTTTCTTGGGCATATGACTAAAAAACAAAGTTCTATTAAAAAATTTCTTTCAGGCCCTCCCTGGCGGCGCAGCGCTTTAAAGTACTAGTTTGATTCCCGCCTGCCCCGGAGGTGACCACATGGCGTGGCAGACCTCTCCTGACCTGCCCGCTGCTCCCCTCAGCAGTGTACTTACTTCGTCTATCTGCCTGTTCTGCTCCCCACTCTGTCTCTGGTGAAGTCTTTCACCGCCCCTGAGCCTCTCACCTGTACCCCAGTTCTGTATGCACAAATAAATAAATCTTTTAAAAAAAAATTTCTTTCAATAATAAGGTAATTCCTAGATGTTGCACAGTGAGATTGGGATAGGCCAGGTTCTCTGAGTCTGAATTCTGTTCGAAAGCTAATTCTGTTCCTTCAAATTGGTGTTTTTATTTTTTAGAAACATAGGTATATGTGCTTGATTAGTTAGTGATAGAAATGAAAATGAAAGATACCTTCAGAGGCAGGCCTGGAATAGTGGTGAACAAATGATCTCTTGTATGCCATTAATTTTTCACTTTTCTTGTTAGGTTCAACAGTTATATTCTCTTTTTAGTATGCAAACTCCTCCCTAAAGTTAATAAACAATTGTAAACAAAAAGGAATTGATCAAAGACAGACCAGTAATTAAGCTGATTCCAAACTGTTTGTGCCCCTGAGGCAAGATCTTCTCTGGGTTACAAAGCCTTTTTGTTGTTGTTGTTGTTGTTGTTTGGAAAGGTACTCACTTTGCAACATCTTTGAATTCATTCCTGCATTGTGTTGTTGTTTCAAAGGTATTAAGATCATTAGAACAAAATCCTCAAACTTTTTGGTAAAAATTTTTGAGCATATTGTCATCTGCACTTATTTTTGCTCAGTTACATACATGTTGTACTATGCTAATACATTATGTCCCAGACAAAACATACATGAAGAATTAAAATTTTTAGGGCTGATTTTCTTTTTAAAGATTTATCTATGAATACAGACCAGAGGTGCAGGGGCAGTGAGAGGATTCACCAGAGACAGAGTGGGGAGCAAAACAGGCAGACTGAGGAAGTACACTGCTGAGGGGAGCAGCAGGCAGGTCAGGAGAGGTCTGCCCCGCCATGTGGGTCACTTCCAGGGCTGGGGAGATCACTTGCAATGCTGCACTTAAGCCCTTTAGGCCACCAGGGAGGGATAGCTGATGCATATTTAAAGTAGAAATTAATTTTTCTTTTCCTTACTCTATCTTTGTACAGCCCAGTTTGGCAACTAATCTAAAAAGGAAATATTGAAGGAAGTTACTCATTTATTAGTGCACTTAGAGACAAAAACAAATATTAAGAATTTGCCAGATCAGAAGTTTATTTCAGGTTTATTTTCCTTCTGTCCTTTCACTTAAAAGATGAATTACCCAAATCAAAATGGTTTGATTCAGAATATTTTGGAATTTAGATTTAGTGTTATTTCATGGGAAAGAAGAAAGTGATGAAGTAAATCCATCCCCTTTTTTTGCCCAAGAGCCCTGAGGTTAGAGGCAGACGGGTGTCTTCCTAAACAAACAGGCTCTGACTGGAGACAACCCAGGTAGGACTTGAGTGAATGCCCTAGAACCAGAGTGCCACTGGCTTCATCAGGTCTGAGAACATGGGTGCAGCTCGTCAACTTTCATAGTACCATAAATAATGGTCAATTAACTATGAATTTTACCACCTATTGGAATATTCCATCTTACTCCCCATCCTCTTCTCTCATTGAGGAGGAAGCAGTGTTCTGGAGCTCAGACAACTGTATATACTTACATCAGCTTTTCCATACTGTGGGCAAGTGTTTCAGTGTGCAGGGAGGTGACACAGACGTCTAGAGTCTTGTTGTCTGATTCTTCATCTTTATTACTTGTTACTATGCAAATTTGGGTTTTAATCCAACTCCTGTTTCTTAAATCTATACCAGGTAAAATAATCTGTGTTAGTGATAATTCACCACTGGCCTTCCTCTAATCATTGTCCTCCAGGTCCCAGAAAGACCAAAGTGCTATCATTTCTTGACTCCTCTTGTTGGCTAAACATTGAGTAACACTGGTTAAAATTGGGCTACTGGTCACCATGCTTACTGCAAACATGCCAGCCCTGTGTACAGCCCCCACTGACAGCACATGGAAGTATGATTGCTTTAAATAATCCACATTGAAGTCCCAGCTATGTAGATAGAAATCAGTTGACAGTTGTTAATAGAAAAAAAAACAGTGCAAAGTTCAGGAAAAGTAAGCTTATCTGTGATTACTTACCATAGCTCCTCATAACTTAGGAACACCTCATAGTGGACTTTGGGTTGAAAGGGTCCTTTGGGGATGAAAACTTGAACCAAAGGGAGATATTACCATCCTCTTGCTCTCCTCCTAAATTCTATTTTTTAAATAAACCTGACTACCACCCAAGAATCCACTTTTCACTCTCAGCTGTGAGTGTTGGGAGATAGGGAGCTTGTTACTTTAGATTCCCCTTTAAAGAAAAGGACAACAAATAATACACTGGTTTTGCACATAAAAATGTTTTGAAAGTGGTAACTCTCCAATTGATTTTTCCCTGAAGGGTTGATTTTCCTTAAGCAGTTACAGTTTCCCACTTGCCCCAGCTGGTCTCTCTTGTCCTTACAGGCCAGTCCATTTCCAGGGTAAACCTGGGCATTTCTTAGCCTAGACTCTACCCTTCTTATAGGGTCACTCTTTACAGCACACAAGGATGGACGATTACAAAGGAGAAAGTAGCATTCCGCAGTTAGCAGATGAAATAAAGTTAACAAGGAGCTGAGGCACCTGCACAGATCAGGACCAAGACCGTATACCCCAGGCACTTCTCTGCCATGCCAGAATCATGCTTTTGAGCAGTGCTGAGATTCGAGTTTCATTTGTTCTCCTGGAATAAGGCACTTATGTCTGAGAACAGTTCTTGAAGTGAGAGTTCATTAAAAATGAACCTCTTAGTCCGCAGGGAAAAATTATTTCACTTGGGTGGCTATAAAAGGGACAAAAGAAAGTGTCAGGCCTTATCAAAAAGAGAGAGGTGTGTTGCTTCCCACACCCCTCAGGGACTCTGTGTTATTTGTTAAATATTCAATAAAGTCTTATTAATTACCAGTCACATGCAAGTAGGGAGTGTCTAGAAAGTACTCACTTTCCAAAGATACTTGCAGATGTAGGCAATTAATATTTTATCCCAAGGAAATGACATTAGCACATTTTCTTTTGTATTAGATTATCACAATAGAAATTAGGCTGTTCAAAAGCTTAAATTTTTTTAAAGGAAGTGAAAATAGTTTTAAAAGTCACAGAGGAAGAGATATTTTGCATTTTGAATATGGAGAATGAGGGGTTATTGAAGGAAAATGACAGGGAAACTTCTCAGTGGAGTGTGTCAAGTTAGAATGTCAAATTTACTTTGAAAGCTTACGGTCAACACCAGTCAACACCAGTTAAAGATGCTCTTAAGTGAGGGTGGATATAAAATACTGTATTTTATCTAACTCAAGATTCCATTGAATGTGAGACACCCCAAAATTTTATATTTTTCTCATGAAAAGTATGTCACAATTGTAGATTGTATTTATCTTTGAACACAAAGTTCAGAGATTTTTACATGTGGGAGAAAATGTGGATCTTCAAATCATAAAGTATAGTTTAGAAATAGCTTCCAAACTTGAATAATTAAGACACATTAAAAATAACCTAAGATATTCTAAGTGCCAAAGAAATGGATGTAGATGTATGATCATCTGTTTATCCTCATAATTCCATGGGGCAGCAATATTAATATTGGGCTATTAATGGGCTTATTAATATTCCCATTTTACAGACAAGTTAAAAGTTGAACAAGTGTAGTCTGTTGCCATCTGTAGGATCCAGCCTCTTGATTTAAGATGAGATTTATTACCCCCATCCACCTTCAAAACAATCTTTTTCAATCTTGTATTTGTATTCTAGGAAACTTTAGTGAATACTAAATTACCAAATACTGAACCTTTAGTGTTGGGGAAAATACAGAGTTCTGGTCACAACATTTTCATCAATCATCAGCTTGTTCATATATATTTTTGTTTAAAGAGACCTTAATTAAATGTACATAGTGTTTGATTAACGTGGAACGCACAGCCAGCCGCACCATTAACTCATTTCTGAATACAGCTTGACATGCATTTTCTCCACGCATCATATGTTCTTGCACTTAAGAACATCCAGTAGCTCTTCAGCTCTACAAGTAGG